TGATGAGGATTCTGGGACTGAAGGTTTCTCTTTCAGCGTAGTCCCTTCATCAGCTGGTTTGGATGAAGCAGCCTCAGCAGAGGGTGATGGAGCTGGAGTTGCCAACACCAAAGCCTTCAATGGAGAGGCTGAACTTTTCTGAGAAATCCGAATAAACCATCACCACATAGAAAAGTTTCAAGTATAGAAAGGTATGCTTATGAGTAAACTAATTTAATTACCTTTCTCTTGGCAATGAGAGGAGTGTCATCATCATCGTCATCATCATCCTCCAAAATGGGAGATGCTGAGGCTGGCCGTTTGCGGCTTGAGGCACTCTTAGCTGCAGTGGGCTTGGTAGGAAGAGAAGTAGATGGACGAACATACTGTTTAGCACGAGCAGAAGAGGAAGGACTCCTAATGGACACAAGGGTGACCAAAACAGGAGAAGTGGCAGAAATGTCTGGCTGATCCAGTGAATGGAAAGCGCGATTGGCATCGGTTGCAAACAATCTGCGCTGCACTGATGGCCAGAGTTGTTCAAAAAGGGGATGGATGGCATGATGATTGAAAGGGGCTAATGAAAAGTTACTCGTCAAAAGAATATTGCGAGCATCTATAGCTTTTGCCTCTGCCTTATTAATAGTGTAGAAGCGATCTATCAAATTTCTTGAATAACAAAGGGGAACAGGCCAAATTTAGCCAAAACCAAGTTGACGAACAAAAAATTGGGGAGCATATATTTCAACCCCTGTTTTGGCATTGGTTCCAGTCAAAATATCATGGAACAACTCCCTCCCGATCAAAAACTGAACCCAAACAAGCAGAGAGGTGCTCGCACTGTCCAAGGTGGATGGGGGTTGCACATAATCTGGAGTTAAAAAGGGAGGAAAAGGAAAGAAAGAAGGAATTGAATTCAAAGTATAAAAGAATGAAAAGATGTCCATTCTGGACATATTTACAGGGCTCAGTGGGTCAATAACTAGCCCATAGCAGCTAGCAGAATGAAAGGAAAAGGATAGAGCACCAAGTGATGGAAAATAGGCTCTCAACCACATTTGAGTGAACCAAAGAAGCCCACTGCTAGTGGGAGATGCACCATTCTTCAATTGGAATTGGAGAGAAGCCATGCCTCTATAGAGGGCGGCCAAAAAGAAAGAACACAAATTCAGAGGCCTGCCACGAGCCAATTCGTGCGCTATGGGTAAATAGCTCATAGAAGGCTTCATGCTTGGCACACACAGAACATATTTACAAAGCCAAATCTTAAGAAATACCACACGCTCAGCATGGGAAAGCTCAGCGCTCAAGTGATTATAATAGCTTTGTAGGCTTGAATAGGACTCGGTGAGTTTTCTGTCAAATTTTGGGGCGACACCAGAAATCAAAATACCAGAAAAAATGGTTTCGCCCAAAGGTGGTAGATTTACTAAGGCCCCAACATCCCTTAAAGTAATGGACATGGGACAAAGAGGGAAAACAAAAATATTATATTCAGAGGAACAAAAACTTAAAGCAGTAGGGAAAAGCGCTGGATCAAAAGTAGGGGGCTGAAGAAAGATTTCTAACAAATTAGAAATCCTAGCACTATCAAAAATTGTCTTGGTAGGACCATGGTCCACAAGGCGAGCATGCCATCTACGGAAAACAACATCAGATTTAAGTCAAGTACGGATACCTCTTTCGCGAAGCGGCCTCAGCGGCAAAGAGTTTAGATATGGAGGGCCTTGAGTACAAGGGAACAACTAGCCCACCGCCACTTGTTCGACGGCCTCGGCGTTGTTGAATGAAGGACCTAGATAGAACTCATTGAGTTCGGCATTGGCTGGTGCAAGGAAGTTCGAAGTTATATATGGCCGAATGAGGAGTTTTTGGAAGTCTTCGAAACTGAAAGAGTCACCAGATTGGGATTGTGAAGCAGCCATTAGGGACGAAATAAAGTTTTGTTGAAGTTTGCTTGAGAAACGTAACAGAGAAGCAAGAAGATGAACAGTAATATTGCGAGAGAGAAGCACGAAACAATGAGGCGTGATTTAGTAGTGCGATGAAATGGCGTGTATTTGGGGGTTATAAGGGTTTGCAACGTCGCGCCTTTTCAGGCTATGGAAGAAAATAATGATTGAAATTCTTGAAAATTTCAAATGTTGTTGGAAACACAAAGTAAATATGGCAAAAATTAATAATTGGTATTAATTCTGCCATATTGGGGGGTAATTGTTGACATGCTAAAAGTGCAGCCCAAATCGAATAGCCCAATGAATGAAGCCCAACTGGGCAATTCAGGATAAAGGGCCGAATAGGATTATCAATGAATGCAGTGGAAGCCCACGAAAGCTGTAACATCATCGCCCAAACTTGCAAGACGCCCAAGATCTGAGGGAATGAAGTGCCTTGCAGTCGCCCAGAGTTATGACCCTGCTCTCGCCCAAACCTTCGAATCGCTCAGGATCTTAACAAACATAAGATGTTATGGTTATCCAAAAGTGCAGTTATCGAAACAGTTATTAAGTAATCTTATCACGTTCCACGATTTAAGAGTGTTCAGTTGAAGACGGTTGAACGACAAAGAGTAGTGGTAGCAGTTAGAGATGGCAGTTCCACGATAAGTTGGCCACCATAAAGAAAGTGGGCGGTTATAAAGCAATTAAGTGGTTTCTAAGCGGTTAATCACGAAAAGATTATCAAGGGAATATAAAAGGAAGAAAAAACATAGAGCAGAAAGACCCCGAATCAAACACTCTCAAACAGAGAATATGTAATTTCAATTTCTTAGTTTAGACTTAAACATTTTTTTTAGTACTCGTGTGCTTGCGCTCCTTGGAGGCATTCTGTTTAAGTTCCAATTGTAAAGTCATCGCCAATAAAACACCTCTTTTTGGGACTTTGTCTCAAGAGGTTTGTTCCTTACACAATCGTCTGATCCCTTTTTAATTGTTAGCGACTACCCGCGCGAAACAGAAAGACAATAAGATATCACCCAGTAACGGTTCAAAAAGTAGTAATGTTTCTAGTATTGCGCAAAGGATGAGTCGATCTGCTGCAATTGCAAGAGCCAGGCAAGATGCCGCCTTGGCCGGACATTGAAAAGAAACAACAAATCCATGGAAAGTTACAGTGGAGGCCTGATTCTTCTTGTACTCAATCTAATGCTGCAGTTGATGAGCTACTCTATGGCCGTGATGGAATGATGTTCGAGCCATATCTTGTGAGAGTTAGTAATGAAAAGACAGTTCATCGGAATTCTCTACACTTCTTTATCGACACACTTGCTAATAACCTCATGGCCAAAGGATGAAAAGAATGATACTGATGGGAACTCTTTGACAGTTCTTCGTATCCAGTTAGCATGAAGCCAAGCTAGCTAATATAATAGAGGGAAATTCAAATGCAAGCAATCTGTTGGAAGGGAAGGATATGATACAGAATTAGGAGCAATGCCTAGAGCATTATATGACGAGAAGTCAAAAAAAATCTACACAGATATTGCAGTTGCTCAGGCTAAGGAGAAGAGAGCTAGTGAAGAAATCGAAGCTCTCAAACATAAATTCCAAAAGACTGTCTTGAAGGAAGCTGAAATTGTAGCTACTACCCTGAGTGGCTTTGGTGGAAATCTGGTTAAGATTCTATATCAAGCCATATGATCGCTAGTCTTTCCGAGAACACACTCTTTGATGCTGTTCTGATTGATGAAACTGCTCAAATATTAATATAATTTTTCTTGCTTTTTTCTCTGTTTCGTCTTTTTTTTTTCACCGGATTTCAATCTTCAATCATGGCTTATGTTTCTTGTCTTCCTTTTTCCACTCTCATTCCTCTTCACTCTTCAGCTTCCAAACTTGAAAGGAACAAAATGCATCACGGTACGTGTTTTGTTGAATGTTTGATGAACAATGAGTGTAATTTATTTGGATATTTGTTGTTGATCCAAAGCAGTTTCCTGCTATGGTTCTCTCAAATGTTGCTAGCAATTATATGTTTCAATGTAGCATGTTTGAACTGCTGCAAAGGGCTAATCATCCTTTCGTCGTGCCAACTCACAAGGTATTTCACATTCTTGATGCAAAAAGTTGAGTCCTTATTTCCACTTGTAAGTAGCAATGGTTGAACAAATTGGCAAAGTTGTCTATCAAATTTGCAGATATTCAATGAGTTCAATGCTCGAAAACCAGATGAAATAAATGTCTTTACAGGTGTGACCAAAAACTACATCGTGATTGGAACCATAGGAACTACATTTATATTTCAGGTGATTTGTCAATTGAGATATGGTAGTTTGCCAGTTAATTTTACCGTTACAAATTTGCCTTAAAATTCTTCATGTTTTTCTCTTTCCATTTGTCATGATGTCAGATGTCTTTCAGTTGGCCCCTTGCTGCTGTCGAGGAGTTCATTCCAGTCCCAGAGATGCCTCTGGCCGAGGTGTTCTAATAGGAATCTATGTAAAGATACAATCTAAAACGAGAATACCAGTACCAGTGACTAGTATTTTCCTCGTGCAATCATGGAAACGCATCATAATGTTCGCACGAATTACAAGCCATACCAAGAATTCCGTTTGGATTATTTACATTCGTATTCCCAACCTCTTAAAGGATGGGAACCAATTACAATATCATGTGCTTATTCTACTGGTTTTTAGTCTCCATGGCCAGAGTATTATCGACTTAAAGCACGACCAAACAGAACATGTCTTCTGCTGTCGGGAAGTTGATTCCAGCAATCTGTTGTGGCTTGTATTCTGGTAACATTATGGTTCGTTTCCTTGCTTACACGAGGAAAATACTAGTCACTGCCAATTTGGCCGTTTAGGGTATACGTATTCCTGGTGTATAAACTCCAGGGTTAGCTCCCATAGTAGCATGTAGTAACCAGAGCACACGGAGCATGATGGCTTACCATCCCAACCTTTCACAAGGAAATGACCAGAAATCCCATTAGTAGTTGGACATTGTCCACAAAACAGTAACTAGGACCGGGAAGTGTATGTTCAATGTGTGAATATTGTATATATTAAATGAAAAAGAGTCAATATCAGCTTCGTGCAACATCTAGTTTAATCTCTCTCTAGATGAATACAACATTGAGATCACTCTTGCAAGGGAGAAAAAGAAAAGTCTCGTTGACGAGAGGCACCCATCTTATCGACCATGCTATTAACATTGACATTGCTAACGGCAAATTGTTACAGGAATACAAGCACATGTTCTATAATAAGGGAAACATTGTCAGGATAACCCCTTTTTCCGTGAGTTCTTAAATGGAAAAATGAACCAGCTAACTGCACGTATTCTTACAAAGAAAAGTTGGATCGATCTGAAAATCAAGCTACACACATATTTCTGGAGTTCTGTTCGGTCATTCATTCCGAAATGGACTAGCAGAAACATGAATAGGCAAAATGGTTCTTTTTCGACACATAATGAGAAATGAAATCTGCTGATGTAGCAGAAGAACCCGGAATGTTGGCTGGAACAAGTATCTGATTCCTGCCAGAAGCAATTCTCTTTCCAGCAACATTGGCATAAAAAAGGCCGGAGATTGCTGGTACAAAAATGTCGCTCTCAGAAGAAATATAGAAATCGATGACCTTTTCAAATTCTGAAGTGCCAGAATTGAGGAATTTATCCTTTTTATCCATGGGCATTATAGCCTCCTGCAACAGTGCAAAGGCAAAGAAAATAGCATAAAAATTTCAATTCTTGGGATATATGACGAGAACCTGAACACAAAGTGAAAAATATATACAATAGTTGTCCATATATCTGTGATCATGAGCCTATTTCCATATAATTATCGGACTCTGTGGAGTCTATATTAATACTATACACTGATTCCTTGAAATATTCCTAGGATGGCGAGGATGAACCACTATATTGACTTAGTCCATAACAATGACAGAATATAAATTAAAAATGAAGTTTACCTTGGTATATGTTCTTGGGAAGAATTCCTTTAGGGCATCAAGGCTGCTATCCCACTTTGATTGAGTCACATACACTGTTGTGTCCTTTTTAAAGCCAATCTTCCTTAAAAAGAGACCTACCTCTTGCGGATTGTAGCAGCTTTTTGACACCAGGGCACCACCATTTTTATGACAACTATTTTTCTCCAGTACATCGACTCTTAGATCAACTGCCACAAACTGTCCATTTGATTTCTGACTTAAGGTTCTCAGGCGATCAATCATGGAGTTGACAACTTCGAGAACTTCTTTTTGTGGCTCAAGAGTACTGAACATTGCCAAGCATGCAGTAGAATCAGTTTTAGTCCTTTCTCCTTTCTTTTTCATATTTACTGGAGGAAAGTAAGTCACTAGCCTTAGGTTTCCCTTAGTTCTGAAAATCGGTTCAATGTTTTCAGCAATGAGATTTTCAGTAACCCTATTGGGGACTCTCACAACTGCAAGATTATGTGATAATACATCAGAAGGCTGAGTCTTAACAACTTTCACCACACCATCAAGACTTGTAATGAACTTTCCAACATCATAGATATCCTCAAAGTTCCTGAAAGTAACAAAGAATGCAACATTAATAGTGCACTTTTCTCATTATGATCATCACCATGTACATATCATTCGTGCACATTAATCAGACCATTTAATCAGATTATGAAAAAAATTCAAATTTAATATAGCCAGCCTGTGAAACTTAAAAAATCCCGGTCACAAAATATATAAATATTGATGTCCCAAAAAATGTAAATTACGCACTCTATTGTCTATACTATTGATCTGCAATTTCTACATTTGTGTTTTCTGTTAAATCAAAAATAAAATCTTAATCCATTGAAAGAAAGGCACTTTTTATATACTATTCAAACAGAATAAGAACACAAAAAAGTGATATCCACTGGTACAGAATTGAATGCAATGGCAGTATACTCGTGCTTAAAATTTTTTCTGTTTTTCCATTAAATAAACATATATTAGATCTTCTCATATGTTTCATCATGTTGTCTGTTCCATGTTATACTGTAGCTTCATTAGATTAAGCGATGAGTACACACAAATGCTGTGATATTGTTAACCTCTTATCACCAGGTTTGCTTCCCCTGATATCTGGAAGTACTAGAGTTGCCCGCAGATGTCTTGCTACTACCACTGCATCAGTAATCTGAATAATAAAATCATGGTGATGAAATTTTAGAGACTACTAGAATCAAGCAAAAGGAAAGGTGAGAATAATTTAAACGACATGTCTCATTTGTCATGCATGTGAATAAATGTTTACAAAAAGTTTAGAAATATATGAAGGCGAGGCGGGGATATGCAAGAGTCAGCTTTCAGATTTTACAGTGATATCTCAAGAATATAAAAGTGAGTGGAGCACAAGTTGCGAGTTTTAGTATATGATCTCTCTTATTAATTTCTTTTTACTTTACAGAACAAAATGACATAAGGACATTGATGCTATTATCTTAATGCCATTATTCTAATATGTCAAACCAGATTAAAGAGGCTCATAACAACCTTAAAATAAGGGAGAATAAATACAAAGAACATGGAAAATTAAGATACCTGGGAGACATGATATTCAGGGCCGTTTGTTAATGAGAAGGTAACGTAACCCTGCACTTCGCCTACATCTTCTGTTACCATAAACGCATAACAATAAAATAAGAGAAGGTGCATCACAAAATAAAAGGTAAAAAACAAGCAGATGTTAAATAAAAGAGAAGATGATTTTTTGTCAAGAACTCCATTCTACTCACCCAACATTTGCTTATTCCAACATGGTTTTAGGGTTAAGCCATCCTTCTTCCAAGTCCTGTCACTCCCTTTTGTAACACTAACAAGACCATGCTCTGAAGCCCTTCTCGTCTCGTGAATTGGCTTTGTGAAGGATAAAAAAAAAAAAAAAAAAAAGAAAGAGAAATTAGGGAAAAAGAAAACATTTGAGCCGGACAATTAATTTTACATCAATGATAAGTCCGAAATTCCATTTTAAGATTAAAAATAATAAAAGCAGATAGATAAAAGAATTAATTGAAAAGCTAATAGAACTATTTCTCCTTCGTCCTCATTTTATACATTCACATACTAAAGTCTATGCAGCTATATATACATAATTACAACACTCCTTGTAATTGATGAACTACGGGATTTAAGTGCAGTATCTACAAAATTGAACAATCTAAGAGGAATGCACAAATGAAAAGTTGTAGCTACAAGCTTCCAGAATTAATCGCCAATCAAACCCCTATCATAAAGGTAAAATCAATATCAAATCTCTTTGCAATCGCACATTACCATGTCTAAAATATCTATTCAGATTAAAACAAATCAAACACTAATAATTATCCATAAAAAACTTGAACATAATAACAGTAGCACATAATTAAAGTGTATATATGTGTCTACTTGAACAGAATCGAAGTGTTCGCGCTTGATCATATGGCCAAGCATTACGAACATTGTCACAGTCAACACTCCTGCTAACACCTGTCTCGGATCAATCGCCATTCTTCAGATTCACCACTTCAATCCTTTCCTTGCAAAATGAATTCAGTTTTTTCTCTCTAAATAACGAAATGGAAATGGTGTCCACAGAATGAACACAGCAGAGAAGAATATAGATAGAGAGGGAAAAAGATAGTCCAGGGGCTCTTGCTTTATCCTTTGGCGCTAATTGTCATAACTTATAACTATAATTCAACCAATGTTAGTATATACGCGCGGGCGCGTGATTTGGTAGCGCCGATACTTTTCCAATGACAATTGACATTGGAGAAAATTGCGACTCCTCGTGTTCCGTATTTTTCTGATTGGAAAAAAAAATAAATATGAATTATTTAATAAATTATTTTCACTGTTTAAGCACGACTTTATTGTAATTAAGAAGTAAATGCGTCGTGAAAATTGGCGTAAATTAAGGACGCAGAAAAAATTAGTCAACTCGTTTGCTGACTATTATTTTTAAGTAAATATATTTATTTAATTTCGTGTGAATTCTGTTTTAACATTTTGTACAATTTAGACCTTGTTTGGTATCCATTTTTTTAAAATGTATTTTTCTCTCTCTTCTTTTCAATCACACATTCTTTATTAAAATAATATTATACGTAAATCAAAAACTTTTTTGCTTTTTTCAATCATACATTTCCCATGAATTTACTATTCTAAAATGTATTTTTACATGAAAATGAGTCTCAAACACCCTCTTAGACTTTGTTTGATTTTCATTTTTTTCAAAATATACTCCTTCTCTCTCTTATTTTCAGTCATACATTTCTGATTAAAATAATAGTACACGTAAATAAATTTTTTTCTTATTTTTAAACCGCATATTTTCCATCAATCTACCATTCTAAAATATATTTTTTCATAAAAATGAGACTCAAACATCCTCTAAATGTGAGGTCTCATATTTTAGAATGATGTTATTCATAGTTAGCAATTATAGTATTTATTCCATATATCAATTTGTTATTTGAGACATTTAAAATTAGTCACATAGAACAACTAATTGTACAAATAGCATTATTCCATATCTTAAGTTTCAATAAAAGTTTATTTACGACAGTATGAACTATAGCAACATCAGAGTTAGCAGTTTCAACTCCTTTGCTTAGTTTGGTAAGCATAGGAAAACAACTAGCCAAGCTCAATGTACAAAACTACTTCGAAGAAACGTGAATTGTCCATATATTAGACTTGTACAGAATCGACTAATGATACTTGTTAATATTTAATTTCATTCAAGTTAAGAATCAAGAATCATCAGTTAATGAATTAATAAAATGAATTCATACTTACAGAAGCCATTGTTGATATGAATAATAGTTGTAATTGTAATAGCAGCCAGATCTTTCTTTTCTTCCTCCTCACAAAGTATTAGCTATTAATGGGGTAAGCTAATAAAAATAATAATAATGGAGAGGAGAGGGGACCTAGCCTTTATATAGGAAATAATTGAACCGTCTCATTACGACTATAATTTTAATTAGGGTTTATTTCCAGCCCACATACTTAAAATTACCACATTATATCAAATAAAGCCCGTGAGGTGTAAAACAGACCAAATTAATCACTTAACATGATTGGCCCAATCATAATGTCATTATGAGCCATACATCTAACCCGTAAAATTTTACAATCGAATGTGAATCCCATATTTGAAATTATTCTAACATTCTTCTACTTGGGCAAACATTTTTATTGTTAAAACAAAACTTTTAACACTCGGGTTAGACTACATAGGTGGCCACAAAAGTATAGCTCCAATGACGACACCTTACGTAACATGATCCGATCCAACAAGAATATTAACGTCAAACATGGAAGTCATTACACCAATTAAGCGATGTAAGACTAATCCACAGCTACAAATGCCAATATTCTTGTCGACATGGATCCCCATCCTCCAACCAATGTTGTATAAACTTAGCGCCAAATGTGATCAAAATTGTGCTAATTCATATCGGTCCTCATAATGCTTCGGATCAAAATGAAGCCACTTGTCTCTAAAAGAGATTCATCTTATGTCTTTATATATCATCTCTCGAGATCACAATAATATTATAATAAAAAGATATAAGTCAAATGCATGCTCGAAATAGTTCATAGATAGGGGAAAAATATTTTATTATCAAAAGGGGTTGTACTTGAAAATATATGGGTTGTCTACGTATCCCGCAAAGGGATTAAGCCCAAAACGTAGTTCTTTACATAAATAATTCCCACTAACCAAAAAAATATTAAATGTTTCCACAATACCCATATTAGTAACATGTGTCTTAAAGACTATTGGAGCGAGTCCCTTAGTCAAAAGGTTTGCAATCATTGCTTCTGTAATGATATGTTCTATTTTCGTCTGCCATTCCTTGACTTTGTCTCTAACCACCAAATATTTGATTTCAATATGTTTTGACCCACTAGAACTTTTATTATTCCTTGAAAATAATACTCATGCACTGTTATCATAGTAGATGGTGATCGGTATTGAGATGGAATTAACAACTTTCAAGCCAAAGATGAAATTTCTTAACCAAACAGCTTAGACTGCAGCCCCATAACATGCCACAAATTCAGCTTGCATAGTAAAAGATGACACTAGAATCTGTCAAGCACTTTTTCAAGAAATAGCACCACTAGCTAATGTAAAAATATAACCTGAGGTTGATTTCAAATCATCTTGACACCCAGCCAAGTCAAAATCTGAGTATCATACCACCTCAAGATGATTTGAACGCTGGAATGTAAGCATATAATTTTCAGTTTTCTTCAAACAACTCATAACTTTCTTAGCTGCTTTCCAATGCTCTTGTCCTGAATGAGACTGAAATCTACTAAAGACACTGACTGCATAGGCTATATCCGACCTAGTGCAAATTTGAGCATACATCAAGCTCCCCACAGCACTAGCATATGGAATTCTCTTCATAGATTCCCTTTTTAGCTCATTTCTTGGATATTGAGTTTTGTTAAATTTATCTCCTTTTATAATAGGTACATCACCATGTGCACTGTTCTGCATATTAAGCATTTCTAGAACACGTCGGATATAAGATTTCTGAGAAAGTCCCAATAAGCCATGATTTCTATCACGATGTATTTCAATGCCAAGTATATAGGAAGCCTCTCCAAGATCTTTCATCTCAAAATTAGCGGATGACATTTTTTTTGTCTTATGAAATAACCCTAAGTTACTGCTAACAAGTAGAATGTCATCAACATACAGTACAAGAAAAATAAAACTTCTCCCACTGATTTTGAGATAAATGCATTGATCAATAGTATTTTCAAAAAAATCAAGAGAGGTCACAACCTCATTAAATTTCAAATACCACTGTCGAGATGCTTGTTTAAATCCATATAATGATTTGTTTAACTTAAATACCAAGTTTTCTTTTCCTTTCATAACAAAACCTTCAGGTTGTTTCATATAAACCATTTCAGAAAGACCTCTTTTCAAAAATACTGTCTTAATATCCATTTGACGAAACTCCAAATCGTAGTGTGCTACAAGAGCCATGATAATTTGAAAAGAATCTTTCAACGAAATAGGGGAGAAAGTTTCAACATAATTAATGCCCTCTCGTTGAGTGAACCTTTTACAACCAATCTTGCTTTCTTTTTGTTCAACATTTCCTTTTGAATCTAATTTACTTTTGAAAATTCACTTGTTATCTATAGCCTTAGCATCTGGAGGAAGTTCAACAAGATCCCAAACTTTATTCCTTTCCATAGAATTCATTTCATCTTCCATGCAAGCTATCCATTTATCTGCCTCAAGACTTGTCAATGCTTGGTTATAAGCTACACGATCAACAATATGCCCAATATTAAAATTGCTCTCCAATAGATATGTAATATAATCACTGGGCCATGCGGATCTCCTTTCCCTTCTTGATCTCCTAACTTGTGGCTCAGAAACTGACTCAATCATTGTTAGAGGAATTTGAGGTTCCTCGGTTTTTCATTAACAATTTCAATTGATTGAGAACCAACTTTTTCCTGTATAATAGGAACTGGAACAATAACTTGATTAGGTTGAACAAGAATCTCTCTCAATGCAGAATTCCCACCATCTCTAAAATCATTCTCCAGAAACTTAGCAGTAATGGAATCCACAATTCTAGTGCCACGATTTGGACAGTAAAACTTATATCCCTTTGATCTATTCGGATACCCAATGAAGTAACCAAGAGTTGATTTATGGTCTAACTTCTTTTCAAATGGAGTATAAATCCTTACCTCAACTGGACATCCCCAAACTTTAAAGTGAGCCAAACTTGGCTTACGTCATGTCCATAATTCAAAAGGTATCTTTGCAATAACTTTACTTGGAATTCTGTTCAAAATATACACAGCTGTTTTCAAAGCTTCACCCCATAAATATTCAGATAAGTTTGTTCTACTCATCATGCTCTTGACCATATCCTTTAGAGTTCGATTATGTCTCTCAGAAACACCATTTTGTTCAGGTGTCCCTGACATGGTGTATTGGGGCACTATTCCACACTCTTGTAAAAACTTTGCAAAATCACCTATATTTTGACCAGACTCGTCATATTTCCCATATTACTCACCACCACGGTCAGATCTTACAACTTTGATACTTTTTCCACATTGTTTCTCTACTTTTTGTTTGAAAATTTTGAATTTCTCAAGTGTATGTGATTTGTCGTTAATCAAATAAACATATCCATATTGTGAGAAATCATCAATAAAAGTTATTGAGTATTTATTCCCACATATAGTGGAAGGCAAAGGTCCACTGATATCAGTGTGTATCAAGTCCAAAATTTCATTACTCCAAGTTGAACCCTTCCTTGTAGATTTAGTTAGCTTTCCTCTTATACAATCCACAAAGGCTTCAAAATCAGAGAAGTCTAAAGAGAAAAGTATCTCATCTTTTACTAATCTTTCCATTTTATCCTTAGAAATATGACCCACACGCTTATGTCACAACATAAAGGATGATTCCCGAATTAAAGTTCTTTCGTTTGATACATTGGTAACATGTGTGACTTCACCAAAATAAGCCAAAGACAATTTGAATAAACCATCACATAAAAGTCCATTCCCAATCAAAAAAGAATTATTAATAACTCAACCATTCGATTATCAAAATTAAATGTAAAATCACAAGCATCAAGTTTCGATATAGAAATTAAATTCCGTCTCACTTGCAGTACATAGACTGTATTTTCTAAAACAAGAGAAAATTGGATTCCAAAGATAACTTCACTACTCCTATGAATTCAATGTTCACTTGAACTCAATTTCCAATGCACAGCTCACTTCATTCTCACTTGGC